AACACTTCCTTCAACACCTTCAGCTCTTTTGAGAACAATTTTAGAAAAGCAGAAATGTAGCAAAGGTGATTATGATAGAAAAGAGACATCTCTGAATATTCCTCACGCTGTGCTGTCAACACCAAGAACTCCAGGTTGGTGAAAATACACTAGACTTGTTTCTGTAAATATTCTAAATTTTTGTTTAATAATGTCTATTGCATTGTAAAGATATATTTTAAAATTTGTAATTTATTTTTTTAGCGACTGCATCTGCTCGATATGACTCTTCTTTCTTCTTTGGACCGAATTTCAATCCAGCAGCGCTTCACGATCAAGTAAGTGACAAAATTTTTCATATTGGATCTTTATAGTTTGCTTTTCTTATTTTAGTGGTGGCTTTTCTGCTAGGAGTATCTTACCCGTTTGTGAGTACCAAAAATGTATCAAATACCTCATTGCATTAAAAGATGAGAAATAATAATGCTTCGTATCTTAGATCATATGTTTTTTATTTTTTGATAGTTAGAGAAACCACTGATGAAAATTTCTTGCATTACTTTGAAATACGTCCAAAATTGTTTGATTCAGTTGAACTGAATTGTTATGCTTAGGATGATAGTGTTTCTCCATTACCACTCTACAGTCCGCGAACACCAAAAACGCCTCTTGATGGCTCTACTGAAAAATCAGCAAGTCGTAAATTACTTGATCACCGGAGACAGTTGGTGGTTGAACTTCTTGAAGAGTATGGAATGTTTCCTTCAGGTTTGTTTCTGCTAGTAGTTATTCTTATTGGAAATTATTACGGGATTTCATCTACATTTATGCGGCATGATTTGAGGACAAGCTATTTCGGCCTTTCAAAACAAATATCGGCAGTTCTTCCCCAACAAACAAACTCTAACGCTTAAAATTCGTGAAATGCGACAGAAAATGATGGCGAGCATGCAGTCTCCTATAACGCCGTCAGCAGGTAATTGCTTTTTTCTTGTTAAAATAAATTTCAAAAAATAAATCGTTTAGAGTAACAAACAGTGTATCGAATAATTTTTACAATCAGAAGTATCAAATAGATGAAATCTGAAGGAAACTTTAATTAAAACATGGTTGTCTACTATTTTTTACAGATTGCTCATTTTCTCAGAAACAAAACAACTTATTTATAAAGCAGTCTGTTTGCACATCGTCAGATGAACACTGCTGTAAGTAATTATTTCAGTAAAGAGTATTTGGTGAGTAAATCAGTAGTATCTTTAGAAATTGGAGATTAGTGTTCGATACATTAGATTCGAGTGGGTCAACATCATATATTAAGACACGAATATTTTTATCTTATAAATTAAATTTATATTAGCCAGTTTGAGTACGAATCATTGGTACATACCGGCGAACGTTAATATAAATACTATGTAAATGCAAATGGAATTGATGGAATAATTCAAAAACAGCGTGCAAGTTATTTTATCAGTGTGCAGGACCGTTTCGATCAGATTCAACATTCATTTCAAGTAATTTTCGGCCAGCAGTGTATCGCAGCTTCAGGGAAGTGGTTGCTTATTGGTTGCTTATTAATTATATTTTGGATTTGATTTTCAAGCTTAGCGTCTTGTATAATGCAAAGTTTAGCAACAATTTCTGGCGTAAGTTTTAGATTTAGATGAATTCCCGTTCGAGAGTCCAAAAATGATTTTTTTTTGTGTCATACTTATAGCGCTTTTCATTTTTGTCTGTACGAGCAAGTTACCAAGTCACCCACAAAAATATGATGTAATCAACTAATGCAGTACATCTCTCTCTAGTCGTGTTACTAACATCGAATACGCCATACATGAGCCTCCCAAAAAAACTGTCATACTAATCATCAAAACATTTAATTCAGTCATTTTGGTATCGTTTTTTTAACTATATGACACGATCAATCAAAATCCGACAATGTCTTTTGGACTTTTCTGGAGTTTTCGGATTCTCTTCTGTGCTTCAACGCTATACTGTCAAACGACATAACTATTTTATATACCATTATTTTTCACAGAAACAACTGAAATGATTTGTAATATTCAAGATTGTTTGGAAGTTCTCGGAGGCATACCATTGTTTCTGAAATTTTTTTAGTAATCGCTGTCCTTTAATGCCACACCTTTTCTCCATCACTCCTTTGCACTTTTCTTTTTTGGAAAATGTGTCTAATGTTTGTTTTTCATTACACTATAAAAGGCATATATAGCGCTTATTTATATTCCCTCCACTACTAAGTTTTTCCATTTTAAATGCTAATGTTTGCTTGTTGTAATTATTAATGGCCAAGAAAAGCATTTTTTCTGGATTGAGAAATCTGGTTTTTTGAATTATTTGTGAAATCACATTTTACAATACTACATTGTTTTTTTGTCGATATTGGACAGAATTGCATTATTTGCCTGGTTCCAATAATTCAACAATTACTAACACCCTAAATTTGTGTATACTTATCAGGATTTGGGCATGTGATACACTAACAAACTTCAGTTGTTTTTTCTGCGCTTAACCATTAATAGTTAACTTTTATTTTATTAATGCAGAACTACAACTTTCTTTTCATAAAAAGAATTAACATTTAATACATCTTTGCTAAGCTGCTTACTTAATACTTTTTCATGCCTCACTCTCCCATTCGTTCCCATTTTTACCACTCGCAGTTAATACCACTGAGAATGAAAAAGAGAAAATGTCATATCATCGGTTGTAGTGCGTGTGTTTTAAACATACTTCACGAAAGTGTGCATTTTTTAAACGTTTAAATAACGTCAAATTGTTTTATTCTTGTTCCGTAAGATTTTGTAGCGTTTTTTAAAAACGGGATTATCTTATGTGATCTAAAATAAGCTGGTTGTTATCGTTGTAGTCACTCTTGTTTGGTATGCATTTCTATAATCTGCTGAAATGTCAGATTAATATTTTTTTATAGCTAAGGCGGGCACCGGATGATTGCCAATATATACGAAAAGAAAAAAGAATGAGGCTCAGCTTGATTCTCCGTCTAATTTCAATTACTGATCCAAACTTGTACTGTTACTTGCTCTCCTCAAGGTTAACTAGTGTAAATTGATGGGAGATGAAAAGTAAGTGCTACACATCTAGTCTGTATCCTAACCGGATAATGAGTAAAACGACTTATAGGAGGATAAGAATATATAATGCAAAGTTAAAGGATGACTGCTATGCTCTACGAGAAAGTACAAATCCTGTGCCCATTCGTTCTTGTCGAGATTTCGCGGATGTATGGTTCACACTTGTATGCTTCAATTTTATTAATCTATAGTGTGATCTGAAGTAATATTCATATTGTAAGTTTAGGATGACTTACTTACACTTTTATTATTCGGAAAAATTCTTGAAAACATTAATGATTATCGAA